CTGCTATATGAGAAACGTGTTACGCAGGCGCCGGGCTGTTTTACATGCCGTTCCCTGCTCCTTTGGAGCTGAGACATGGAATCACTTATTGGCTGCGTCACGGCATGCTGCTGCTGAAGCCCCCATGGTGTGAACGTTGGCAAGGGGAAGTGGACAAATCCTGCCATTAATATTTCCCAGCATAAATCCCGTTGTTTGCTCTTAAATGTTTATCCAGCTCCCCAGCATAATTGGGCAGCCTGTTATCTGTCGGGTTGCGTTGCACGTGTGGGAATCCGCTATTACAACCCTCTCTCTGAATCTTTTATAGGAAAGCAAAATACATTTACAAGCAAATTTAGTTTTTATTTGGAGGCGCGGGAGGCACGTTACTAATTTGGCTGCGGCCCGAACCCCAACGTGCGAAGTGCTCAATGTGGTGCGTGGGAGAAGGAGGTTTTATTTAGCTGCACGCTTCTTTCCTCGCTGCTTGGGCTTTCCATTGCTAATGCTATGTGTGAGCTGCAAGCGCGGAGGGTAGCCCCAGGAACCCCAGAAAAATGCAGCCACTCTTTGCATCTCGCTCGCTCCTCCACCTTTATCTGTCACAGCAGCCTCAGTGAGGGACCAAGGATGAGCTGAGCCTAGGTGGGATGGGTCACCCCAAGCATCCACACCCTCCTGGTCCATATAGATGCAGCCAGGTGACCCTATAGAAGTCCAGACCCGACTGGTCTGGATAGCTGCAGCTGGGATCATCAGGTGTGATGGTGGGGAAGAGGATATTAAGAGTCTGGGATACCTCGGTGATGGGGCTGGATAAGCGCTCGTAGTAGACAGATTAGTCATCGGTTCCTGATAGGGGATAATCGCTGGCTTGTCTGCTCTTTATCTGCGAGATATAAGGACTGGGTTGGGGGAGGGAAGGAAAAGACAGGGAAAAGCTGAGATGGCCAGGAGGACTGCCCCTGGTCTGGTGGTCCCTTGTGGCTCACAGCAGGACTTGGCCACTGGCCGTGGGGGAGCAGGATCAGGGCTGTAGGCGAAAGCTCTCGTGCTCATCCAGAGGCTGTAATTTCCTTTCTGCTGCTTCAGCTCCCATCCCAATTATGTGGTTGTATCAACTATAAATTATTCTGTAGAAGCAGCAGCAGCATCCTGTCCCTTCAGCATTGTGCAGGCTGCACCTAGAGCTTGCTAGAACTGCTCTTGGGCAGTGACTGTTAGCAGAAATTAAATGAATTTTGTAAAGGGTGTTAAATAGTGGTATCTTATTGAGTTAAGAACATTCTCAGCCTTTGCTGGAGAAGCAGAACTCCTTGGGTTGATGTCCTCTTGCTTACAAGCCCAGGTGAGACAGTTGCCCTGCTGAGCAGGCATCGTGGAGCTTGATTTTCATGAATTGCATTCGAGCTCCTGGTTCAGCAACGCACGGGGCTGGGGTGTGCACAGCATCCTGAGCTGTTTCTGCACAAAAATGATCTCTGCTCCCCAACCAGATCCCAGCTGAGTGGGGAAGACATCATTGAGATTTAATTGGGAACGTGTCAGCTACAGCATCCCTTGGCTGTCTGTGCAGCACCTTGCTTTTCCTGCAGTGACCCCCTTCCTCACTCGAGATGGGAGAAGCAGACCAAAGTGGAGCGGAGCATCCTCCAGCCGCACAGGTCCCTCCTTGGCCCTAGTTTTCCCTGAGGAGTTTCTGCAGAGCAGGACTCAAAAGCTGGGAGCTGAAAAGCTGAGTTTCTGTTCCTGTTTGTGCTCCTGGCTGCTTGCTGGAGCCGAGCTGCTGCCTGCCTGGTGAGCCTCGGATGCCAGGGCTTTGCTGGGAGGTAGGGCAGCGCTCAGGGGGAAAAACGGGAATTGGAAGGGTCAAGGCAAGGGGAGGTGAATCCAAGCTGTTGTTTAAAGCACTTGTGGGTTGTTTTGTTTTGTTTTTGTTTTTTTATTCTCTGGAAGGTGAAATACAGCCTGTGAGCACACATGTGCCTGCCAAAGGCCCTGCTCTGGTCACAGTTTGCTCTTTGAAGGATTATTGATCCTTTGCTCTTTCCAGCGAAGGGTCTGTCCCAGGCAGGTACGCTGATGTGCAAGGACTTATCCCCTTTCCTAAAGCAAATGGGGGGCAGGACCAGGTGTTTAACCTGGGGTTCTGGAGCCCCCATGCAGTGGTACCTTTGTTAGACTGTTCCTAAGGTGATGAAGGACTTGCAGGAATTGGAGCTTTACTGATGCTTAAGCAAACTGGGGATGTGGAGCCGGAGGAGGAGCACCCCAGGCAATCCCTGGAGCTGGAGAGCGCTCCGGGCTCTGTAGCCGCACTGCCTGCATTCCCAGGGCTTTGAAGGAAGGCAGGTCCCTTCTCTTCCTCAGCCTTGCTTGATGTGGGGTGCAGAGGGAGTGGGGCCAGCTAGGCTTCAGCCCTGTGGTCAGGATCCCGCCTGATGGCTGCTGCCACCACCGTGGAAGGAGAGCATGATGCTGCCGGCTGGGGCTTACTGCCGCAGAACTTGGTTGGTTTTCTCTCACCTGAGCTGATAAAATAGAGGTGGGTCCCTATAAAATAGAAGTAGGTCCACTTCTTGCTGGTGGGACTGCTGACCCTGCTGCTATAAACATGGTTGTCTCTTTTCTCCTTCCTCTCCATCCCCCCAGGTGCTCCTGACCCCACTGCTGGGGCCAGCATCGATGATGAGAACTGCTGGCACTTGGACGAGGAACAGGTCCGAGAGCAGGTGAAGCTGTTCCTATCTCAGGGAGGGTACTACGGCTCGGGGAAGCAGCTCAACTCCATGTTTGCCAAGGTGAGGAGGAGCCGGCTGCTCTCCCCTCTCTGCTCAGCGTGTCACGTAGCCGGCAGCTCGCCAGCTGCCCTGGCAGGGTGCCCATCACAGCTGGGAATCTCTGCTCCAGTGCCTTCTCGCCTGGTCACGGAGCAGGCAGTTGTAATCCAGGCTCTGGGTCAGGCCTGGGTTGTCTCATCCGCTCTCCTGGCAGGTCTGTTCCCCCCACACAGTGGGCTTGCCCCCATCTCCCCATCAGCACGATGTGGGGAAAGCCAATCCTGCAGAGCCTACCGAGACCTTGGAGAGGTGACACCAGTCTATGGGCTCTTCTCTTTCTTTGCAGAAGGGCCTTGTTTTCATGTTCTTGATTGCTTGGTCCTCTTCACAGCCTAGGCTGTGGCTTCTACTCAGTTGGACTCCAACCAGCCACATCACAGCTGTTGCATGAGTTATAATGTATGACTATATGTTATACACACATACAGGTATATATTTACAGTCTGGAGCCGCAGACTGAGGGAGCTGTGGGTTGCCAGCCCAATGACCATGGTTTGTCTCACCAAAGACCTTCTCTCTGTCCTTTCCAGGTCCGGGAGATGCTGCGCATGAGGGACTCCAATGGGGCCAGGATGCTGACGTTGATAACGGAGCAGTTCATGGCCGATCCTCGGCTCTCCCTCTGGAGACAGCAGGGGACGGGCATAACGGAGAAGTGCCGGCAGCTCTGGGATGAGCTGGGTAAGGGTCACAGCCTTGCAGAGAGCAGCAGCAGGGTTGTCTGGGCTGCTGGGCCAGCGGTCATCATCTCAGAGGCCTCTGGGACTCTTCTTTTGGGGGCATAGACCCTGAGAGGTGCCAGGAGTTTATCTGTCTCCTGCTGGGGAAGTCCTGGTGGGACAGCTGGATCAGGGCCAAACTACACAGTTCAACACCTTAAACCAGCCCCTCTCCTGCGAAGGGGTCAGGGGTGATGTGTGTGCAGAATGTGGCTGGTCTCATACTTGCAGCAGCCTGGTGTTTGATGTGCTGCCCCAAAGCCTTTGTGAGGGAGGACACAAGCTAGTGAGCCCCAGGGGCTAGATGTAGCCTGGACATGGAAGTGCTGTTCCTGGAAGAACCGTGATCCAGCAAGGGAAATGCAGGTTCTCAAGTCTCGTCCCAGCTAACAGATTTCTGCCTGCTCTAGTGCACGTTTCTATGATGAGGGGAGCAAGACGGCCAGCACAGAGCCAGGCTTTAAGGGAAATGCAGTTCTGGGTAATTCTAGCTAAGCACCTTAAACACCAGCTCAGCTGGCTGACACCATAATATCATTAGAATGAAACATTTAGATGACGTGGGCCCAGGAAAGCTGGTTGTGTGGTGGAGTTAACCCAGCAGCTCTGGGCTCTCCTGGACATCTGGGATCTTGGGTGAATAGTTTGACTTGTGCCATAGTTTTACAAGTGAGTTTGAGCTTCTCTGCAGCCAGCTGATAGGAGATGCTGTGCAAGGGCAAGGGCTGGGACCAAAGGGATGGTGTAGAGCTGGAAGAAGGATGAGGGTGGTTCAGGATCTGGAGCATCTGAAACTGCAGCTGGGATCACAGACCCTCCTACCAAGTGCCCAACAAATGCAGACATAACTGTGAGACCAGCGAGCCTGGCCAAACTGCGTAGACAGGTCTGGGCAGGGGTGGGATGTCTTGCTTCTGTGTGAAGTTCCTTGGATGGAAATTACCACGCTGGCTCTGGAGAGCTCATCTGTGCTTGCTTGCCAAGAAGATATTTCCAGGATTTTGGGATGCTGCAGCTAGATGGTTGGATATGCAAGAATCCTGAAAAGGTGGCCAAGTCCACCAAGCCAGAATTTCCACATGGAAGAAAGCAAACACATCAGTGAAATGGGAATGGACGGGTGTCTGGGCAGGCCTGGATGCAGGAAGCAATTTGCCCAGAATTACAGATTATTTGTCTAGATTTCAAGCCCTCTATCTGAGCCAAGAACCCTCCCTCCCTTCCTACACACACAGGGAGGGAGTGTTTGGGTTTCAGTCCTGGCTTAACCATGCAAAGACCAGGTTGGTGTGCGTAGTTTTGGTCAGCAGAGTGGGAGGAGGTGACAGCATGTCCCCGTCAGCAGATGGCAAGGTGGCTAGGGGAGCTTCAGGGTCCTACCGAGTCTGGATCAGTGTGACAGCCAACACACGTCAGAGCGAGTGGCTTGCCTGGCATAGGCATGTCACATGAGAGGGTCTGGGCATCTCCATGCTGAAGAGAAGCCCCTGTGGAGGACACAGTGATGGTCCAAGAAGCAGCTCCAGGGCAGGATGGGCATGGACTGTACTCAAAGAAGGAATTATTTCCCCATCTTATAGAAGCCTTTTGGATTTGGCTGTGAACAGCATTTGCTGTAGGAACAGAGCATCCCTCTGAAGGAGGAGTGGAGGCAGGGAGGGACCAGAGCTGCAGCGAGTTGCTAGTCTTCACCAGTAACAAACATCACCATCGCAGAGAGGAGTCCCAAACCATCACTGGGCGTGTGAGGTGGTGAAGGCAGGTGTTCTGACCGCCTCTGGGCTGCAGATGCCAAAGCTGCCCAGTGTTACCGCTGCTGCCAAAGGGAGGGATGAGGGACCTGTTGCCAGCTGCCACGGGAAGCCCCAGACAGACCGTGTTCCCCTTCCACGTGGAAGAGAAAAATGGGTCTCACAGAAATTATTTTGGGCACGTGTTTAATAATTAATCATCGATTTTAGCAAAGACTGCATCACAGACTTGCGTGGGATTGGAAGAAGATCAGCCTTAAAGAAGATTGTGGATTTATGCTGGGGAAAATGTAAAGGATTTTGGAGGATTTCAGAGTTAAAAAAAAAAAAAAAATTAAAATAAAAAGGGCATCGTTTGCTTGTGCATGTGCTGCCAACTGAGCATCTATTGCCCCGTCTGCTGGGGAGCCAAAGGAAAGACCTGCGAGATGGAGAGCTCTGCAGCGTGGGAGTATTTGCCCTGGCGCATTAGTACTTATGATTAAAGCCTAATTACAAAAAATAGACGAAAAACCAGCTGAAGTGCAGCCTGACCTTAATCTGCCTGGAGACGGGTTTATTTATCTCGGCCACTTGTTTACAGTGGGGAATTTCAGCAGATTAAGCCAGGGAGCAACCCTGTGGGAAACGGGAGAATTTCTTTGATGGTTTGGAAACTTGGGCGCGGGATTGGAGTGCCTGTCCTCTCCGGGGCCAGCAGCCGGGACTGCTGGGCTGGGAAGGCTCCAACCCCGCCGTCCCTGCACCCAGTCCCGTCATCAAAAAGCATTTTTGTTTAGAGGCTTAGCTTAATCATGATCTGCTGCTTTGTTCCCTGCTTAACCTCCTGTTATTGGAAAGTTCAGATGAAGGTTTCTGCAGCATGTGAACAGACACGGAGTCTGACCCGGCGTGGCGTTTCGGCTCAGGACAGGAGTCACTTGTGCTGTCAGCTGATGTCACTTGACCATAGGACTCAGAAAACCCCTCTTTTCCATCTCTCAGATAACTCTTGCAGATGAGATGAATGCAAATCTCTCTTCGCTCCTTGTTCCCACCTCCCTGCCACATCTTCCCTTCTGCAGGAGGCCCCAGGAGCACAACATTTTGGCAGGCAAAGATGCCTCAGAGGTCTCCCAAAAACAGGCTGCAAAGTCACGAGGCTTCTGAGGATCACAGCTGAGCTGTGGGAGCCAAAAATCCAGCAGGCGCATCCTGCACCAGGGGATGGCAGAGCCAGAGCACCAAGCCCTGTTAACGCCGGTGAGCCGAGGCACTCCGTGTGCCATCAGAGGTGTGGGCCGAAATTGCCAGAGGCTGCTTTTTGCACAAGCAGCCCCAGAGCAGGTGAAGAGGGGCAATGACAACAGCTGGGAGTGCTGGTGGGAAAGTGATACCCAAAACCAGTTCGAGCCCTGGGATGCCCAACACAGGAGCCAAGCGCATGATTTAGCTCACACCCTCCCGAGGAGGTGGGAGTTTTATGCCCTCAGGGTGGCAGCAGGCAGGCGCCCAGTGCTCAGCTGAGGGACAGTAACCAGAGCCTTGAGGAAGACTCATTTTCTGCATCTGAGACTTGGATTTTTCGAAAATTCTGTGTCCGTGAAGCCCCCATGGAGCCTGCATGAGCCTGGCAGTGAGTGACATAGACCTGTTCTGGGAGGGATGGGCCTTGAAAGCCCCTAAGGAAATAACTCTTCTCTTGCACATGCATTAATTGCCAGTGTTGCAGCTCAGAAGTTTCATTTCCCCCTGTTCATTGGAAAGGAGTGGGGTTTTGGTGGAGTTTCCTGGGAGCAGCAGAGCTGAGATGCAGATGGAGCTGGACTGGGTGAGGGCTGCTTTGAATATTTGCTGATCTTCAGTGCCTGGGGTTGCTTTTCCTGTGCCTGTTCCTGGATGTGATGCTGCTGCCACCATCTACATTGCAATGCCGTGACGTCTCTCCTGCTGAGCCAGGCCACTCCAAGGAGCCGGACATGCACAGCCTCCATGCCTTATCAATGATTTGAACCAAACGTGTCCAGAAGTCCCAATTGGCAGAGGATGGGTCCTGGGAAATGCACCCCGAAAGCCCACCAAAGCTCAGCTATTACCCAGAGGAGCGGGGAGATGCTGGAGTGGAGCCGGAGTCAGGACATTGCTGCTTGGCCTGGTTTTGCCTCACTCTGCCCAGAAAAGGGACCGGCTGCTCCGGTTGCCTGTGCTGGAGCTGCAGTCTCGCTCGGGGCTGTTTGGCTGGACAGCGTGGCCGTGCAGCTGGGGACCTGCCACACAAAACACAGCGAGCGAGGGGGGTGGTTTGGGCACGTGGAGGAATCTCCTCACCGCGCAGCAGAGCTGCAATGGGTGATGTTGTCCTGCTGCTGGCTGTCACTTTGGGATGGGAACTTTGGCTCTGGAAGTGACGGAGAGGTGAGGGAGAGCAGCTGGCTGGGCAGGGAGAAGGAAGGTGCTCCAGGTCTCCACTGGGCCCATTCAGGAGAGGCAGGGGAGGGTGTTTCTGCAGGAGGCTGAGCTGTCCTGCATGCGTGGCAGGAACTGACATGGGCAGGGAAAGGAGCAGCACAGGCTGCTCAGCCCAGGGGGATCCCTGGGGACACCGCACGCCGCAGCTGTGCCGGCACACAGCCATCCCACCCCACAGGGCAGGCACAGGGGAGGGGACATGCTGTATCCTGGCAGCCTTGCATGGAAATTTGGGCAGAGATGCAATTAGCTAAAGGAGAATTCACGGTTTTGCAGTTATTTGGGTTGCTGCAGCCCTTTTCAGAGCAGTGGGTGACCCAGGAGAATCGACAAGGCTCTGTTAGCAGCACCAGCATCAGCCCTTCTTATGAAAGGATGAGTTGGATCTCAATGATGACTGATGTCCTCGGGCCTGCTTTTGCCTCTCATGCAGCAGGCAGCATCATCAGGCCTGTGAGGTCCCATGGTTGACCTGGAGGGTGTCAGCATGGGTGTCCTACTACTGATGGGCACCTCTGCACATGAGATCTGGAAGGGTCTTGCCTGTGGAACATTAAGCCAAGTTCCAGGTTTCTCTGCAGCCTGGGGGCTATTGGGGATTAAAAAAGAAAAAGAAAAAAAGGAGGAAAATGCACTAAATCTCCTTTTTAAATAGTTGAATGCAAATGGCCTGAAGAACAATAGCAGATGAAATAGCATTCGGAGCAGGCTTTAAAGTGCTTGGAACGTGGGTAGGATCAAAATCAGGTTAGTCTTTGGAGATACAGACTCTGCAGCTTGCCAGGGTGTTTTTAAGCATGCTTTGATGTGTAGTTCAAACACTAGATTTGTCCTGGCATACAGAAACACTCACAAATGCATACACAGCCACTCTCTCCTTCCCTCCTCTTCACTGTCCCCCATCTCATGAGATTATAATTTAGCTTCATTACAAAGGAGTTTTACTTTTATTTAAAAGCTGTCTAAATCCCCCTCCTGGGTCCATGCATTATGCTGAAATGAGTTTACGAACACCGATGAAACCTTGCAGGCTCTCACAACAAACGCGGCAGCAGAAGAGCTTGGCCCCGTGGGTATGGTGATGGCACCTCCTTGATTTCTTGGCTTTGTTTAGGGGCTCTGTGGGTGTGCGTGGTGTTAAACCCACACTGCAAGCTGGAAGAGAAATCCTGCTGGCTCCGGCAGCTGCGCAAGTGGGGTGAGATGGACGTCTGTCCCCTGGAAGATGGCAATTACGGTAATGAGCTTCCCAACATCACCAACGCGCTTACGCAGAGCTCTGCTCACAGCCAAGGTGAGTCTGGACAGGGAGTGGAAATCTAGATGGTGGCCACAGGGTTTGGGTCTGGGTCAAAACTCACCCCAAAGTTGAGAGACCTCAGTTCACCTGCTGGTGATATTTCTATGAGTCACGGGAATACAAAACATTTCCCTTCATAGCCTCTAGTTTTAAATACACTTGCAGACGTTTGGCTCTTTGCTACATCTTGGGTGAAGTCACGTGTATTTGAGCATCAAATTAGAGGCCATTTTAAAGCAGTTTGATCTTGGGGGAGTTTAGACCTCTATGGTCTGTGCAGGTTTGGGTGTGGAGTTTTACAGAAAGCCAGCACTGCTTGAATTGAAGCAGAGCTGAGCTGGGAAGCTCTGGCTCTAATGTGAGAGTGAGGAGTTGGAGATGATGCAGAGCCCCTTTCCCAGCCCTTGAGCTTTGCTTATGGGCTTTGATTCAGGTGATAGATAAGTTATTAGCCAGGAATGTTAAATGCAGTTCAAGTGCAGAGCACAAACAGAGCATTGCAGTTATGCTCTGATGTTCCTTGGGGTTGTTGCACGAAGGGGTTGTTCCTTCATGCTAAAATATTTTCTCAGCTCCTGACTAAGCATTTGTTCCCTTTAAATTTAAGCACTTTGTGTTCCCTTTTCCTTGAAGTAGATGTTATTTGAAAGTTACTGCTCTCACCATGTCTCCTTCTGCTGCACTGGAATTTGCTCTTTGGTGTATTATATGTGGCCAAAGTGGGAAGAGGAGAGGGGGATGGCAGCAGTTGGGGAGCATGGCTGTCCTGCCAGCCCACCCCAGCCATGGCCAGGACCGTGTGCCCCAGCTGCTCGCTGCACCTCCCTGTGCACATCCTCGGGGAGCAGCTTAATTTAAACCTGGCCTTGCTCCATGTCCTACGCCAGCCCTGGGATAACCCCCTGGTGTTCCCAGCTCTGCTGAGGATTCACTCTGGCATTTGAGGCAGGCTGCTGGGGCTGAGCAGGTCACTTTTTTTAGATGTGGAGGGAGCTTCCGAAGTGAATGCCGGGGACGTCCCCTTGTCCCCGCACTCCTGCCTCTCAAGCAGGAGACTGAAAGCAGCATGGATCCTGGATGTGTCCTGGGGTTAATGTTTGTGCATATGCAAATACTGCTGCAGATTGTTGCCAACCTCTTTTATTATTAAAGGAGAACAGATGATTCCTGAAATCCTTCCTGGTAAAGTTGAGCAGGCTTGGTTCTCTACGTACGAACACCTGTTTAATTTCTCTTCACCTCGGGGTGTCTGCAGCGTTCACACTAATTGCTTGTTGCCATCGTTTCCAGAGCGTGTTTATCCAGCCTCCCTGGATCAGCTTTGAGCAGTGCCTTTTGTTTCCCTGCCTTGAATGCATTTAACTTGGCCCATCTTGTGGGTTGCGGGACCTAACAGTCAGCACTGCATCCCCTTTGGAGCTTCCCGTTTTGCAGTCCACCAGCTGTGCTTGGCCCTCACGATGCGGTGCGGCTAGAGCGATAGCAGGCTTGCTCCAGACAGTCCTTTACCTCCCGACAAACCACTTGTCTGATGTGTCTGGAAGGACTGAAATGCTCGTCCAGCATTCGATAGCTTAAAAAATGTCAGTGAAGTTAGAGCAGCTCTGAAGAGGAGCACAGACATCTGCTGCAGAGCAGCAGTGGGGTTTCAGACGATGCTGTCTCCTCCCTTCCAGCCCTCTGGTACAGCCAGAGGAGGTTGCTGGAAGGCGATGGCTCTGGTTCCCCCAATTGCCTGGAGGCAGATGAAACACACTCAGGCAGTTCCCTTCCATTCCCTTCCTGGCTTCAGGTGCTGCTGATCTAAGCAGCTGTGGTTCAGTGAAGTTGGGACTTTGCATTGGAGCAGAAGAGGAGAGCTCATGGTGTTTGCAGGGCAGTAATGCTGAGGAAGTCTGGTCCTGACCCCTGGCAGCTGCCCTGCGTGCCGAGCGTCACAGGGGTGGGAATGCACTGCCACATTTCAGGGGATCAGCCTCATGTGTGACAGTGGATTGTCATCAGGAGGCAAACGGACAGGCAGTCCCTGCCTCTTTCCTCACCTCTCTGGCAGGGCAGCTATTCTAGCAAATGCTGTCCAAGGAAATGGCAGTTTCCATCAGAGACGGGATGGGCAGCAGAGGTATCTAAAGGCAGTCTGCCACAGCACAGGAGCCAGAGCCCCTGTGTCAGCTTGGCAACGGCTGGCGTGGGACCAGGAGGGGCTTTGCTCTCCTTGTAAAGACATTGCTCTGCCCAGGGTGGTTGTGTCTGGGGGCAGGAACAGGTTGCCCCTGCCCCACCAAGGCACTGATGTTTTTTCTCTTTGCAGACTCACTGGCCAGGCCCAGACGAACCGTGTTCACCCGGGCGATCGAGGGTTGTGACCTCCACTGGCAGGACAGCCACCTGCAGCGCATCATTAGCAGCGACTTCTACGTGTCTCCCTCCTACCAGCGAGAGGGCGAGAGCCTCCTCTTCAACTCCCAGGGGCAGCCGCTGTGGCTGGGGGAGCATCCAAACCAGCAGCCCCTTGCATGGCCTGGGTGGATGTGATTGCTAGTGGAGAAGAGCCACCCCAAGCATCAAAGAAGCTTTGCTACCCTGGGTCCTTGCAAGCTTCTGCATCCTAGAATGAAAGTACCTCCTTGACCCTTAGCCTGAGGAGTAGGATGAGCAGAAGAACTGGATACCCTCCCACAGGCCAGCTACAGTCATTGTAGCAGGCCCCACATCTTTACAGTCTGGGTTCCCCTCGGGCAGCTTGGACCAGGCTCATCATGTCCTCTTCCACCCTGCCAGTGTTTGGCTGTCCCCAGTGCAAGCTCTCACTATTCTCAGTACCGGCGAACTGAACACTTAAAGTCCCTTGGAACTTGGCTAGGGAGCACAGCTGTATCCTCTGGATTTTTTTTTTCCCTGCTCTCACCCTCTCTTTAGTCTTCCCTTAAAGGCAATTAGCAGACAGTACAATTAATTAAGCCTTGTATGAGCTTAAGGCATACTGGCCCAGTCAAGCCTGGTACCCTCCTGTGTTGTAGATCTTTAGTCCACGTACCTCAAGCTACACAACTTTTCTACTGCCAAGTCGTGACCCTGGGCAGATCTGCAAACTCTCAACAACTACAGGGCTGGGATGAAAACAAGTGAGACAAAGAGCTTGGGGGGTGCCTGGTGTGGCTGTCAGCTCTCAGACTAACCCCAAAATGGCAGAGACAAGCCACCCACACCTCCAGGAGGGTGGATGCCCCATCCCTACAGCCCAAGGGGTGAAAGTATGGATGTGGAACAGGTCAAAACCCACCACTGCACTGTTGTCCACTCCAGGAGCTGGGGTCTGCTGGCACCCAGCCAGATGGGAAGAGAATATTTAAAGTCATGCAGAGATGTGGTTTGTGAAGCAGCAGGCACTATGTTGCTAATAAGACCAGGAGATAAGTTAAAAAAAACCCATGTGAAGTCTGCTGGTACACCTCTGCTAGCTTAGCTGGAGCAGGAGAGGACATTTCTGCTCTGGGAGTTTTGTGTAACTGCAGGTCTCCTCCCCCTGCAGCCACAGGCAGTGGTGGTGGGTTAGTGCTTCCAGGGACTCCATCTAGCAGAGACTTGGTGTCCCCAGCTCCCCTGTCCCTAGCATCATATGGGTTCTGGTGAGCCCTTTGGCCCACCTGGTTGGTGCATGTTATTTTTTCTGATGTATTTGCTGTGATTTTTGGATTTTGCACTTTTACTTTCTTGGCACCCCTTCAGGGACTCAGTGCTGGGAAAGGAGTGTGATTTGTCAGCAACTTCCAGTGATGAATTCAGTGAGAAGCTGAGTATTTCATCCATTTAGCAAATGAATAGAGGAAGCAACAAGAAGTTCTTTTACAGATGTGTTTGTTCTGAAACCTCTTCCTCATGTATTCCTTGTGGATGACCTTTGGGACGTGGAAACCCCATTTGTGGAGATGGTTGTCTGCATTTCCAAAGCTTTCTGAGCTGTTCCAGGAACAGAAATTATCCCTCTACCATAATTTTAGATCTTCTGTGTTTGCCTTTCCCCCCCACACCCCTTTGGTAGGACATTTTCCAAGAAAATGAGATTTTTGCTGCTTATTATGCAGCATGTCATGTCATCTGCACCTGCTAATTTCTCACTCAGTCATAATCCTCTCCACAGTTGCTTGTGATTTCAGGTGGGCAATGAGCAGCAGGAGCAGATGAATTCCTAAGCAACTTTGAGTCTTGGGGTGGGGGGTTGGTTCCTGCAACTGTTCCTAGTAATAAAACACCAGGTAGGAGAGCTGCAGGAGAGATGGGGTGTTGGCAGAGCTTGCTCCACAGAGGTGTTAAGAAAGCAGTTCAAAACATCCTCCCAAATCTGCCAGTGCCCCTGGGGCAGTGCTGGATGCACAGCATCACCCCATGTATCATCACCTGTGCCATGAGAGCAGGGAGAAGTGTTTGACAAGATGCCAAGAAGTGTTTGGGCGCATGCAATGAGATAAAGCACCGTAAGCCGTGCAGATTTTAGGAGAAAAGGGTGGCAGGTTTGTAACAACCTGTGTTTGGAGTTGTCATATTGCAGCAATGGTGTGTTGGAAATGCTTCCCCTAGTTAAGGTTTGTGGAGGTGGGGATTTAGGTACTGACGTGGCTGCTGTGGGTTGAACGTGGTAGGAGTCCCATTAGTATTCCTGGTAGGTGTCCCTGCCAGGAGCAGGGAGAAAGGGATGACTTTAAGGCAAGGAGGAGGAGTTTAGCTGGGGTGTGGGGAAGACCAGTAGAAGAAAATGCCCTGAAGCCTTGATGCTGTTAGGTTCTCTCCCCCCCATCAGTACCATCCCATGAATTTTTGTGCTCCTCTGGCTCAGCCATGCCCCTGCATTTGTCCTTTCATTGCAGAACATGTCCCAACAGCCTGTGCTCGAGTGGATGCCCTGCGCTCCCATGGCTATCCCAGAGAAGCTCTCCGACTAACTGTGGCCATAATCAACACCTTGCGACTGCAGCAGCAAAGACAGCTGGAGATTTATAAACATCAGAAGAAAGGTATGAGTAGAGCTATGGGAGAAGCATCCCATGAGGTCTTGCTGGGGTGTCCCAGCTGGTTGAGAAAGTCTTCTCCATCTCAAAGAGTGGTGCTGCCCCATCCAGAGCGGCAGAGGTTGACAGAGGGCAGTGCTGGATCAGACTGATACATCTGGTTGCTTGAGCCAAAGTGTATTGATACCCACCTGCAAAGGACAGAGAGGTGCCCACGTGCTGTCTTGGGGCTGCTGGAGTAGGAGTGTTTTTGTTCCCACTCTTGCCATGTCTGGTGGCCTGTAAGGCTTGCACAGGCAATGGTGGGTGATACCTGCATTAAAGAGGAGCTGCTTGTCTGCAGAGCTGCAGCAACTGGCTGTGTGTGCTACCTCCAGCTTGTATTCACGGGGTAAATTGTACCAGGAGACAAGACCAGAGTTTCCTTTTGCAGTCACAGCTGGCAGAGAGCTGGGGTCAGTTACTGCAGTGCTGCTGGTGGTCACTGACTTCTGGGCCTTGCTAGTTCAGCCAGCCTGAGATCATCAAATGATGGAGCTTTCAAGACTCACAGGGAGTCTTTGTTGTCTCCAGGGAGATTTCTGCTTCTGTTTCCAAAACATTCAGGCTGCCATTGCAAATGAGTCCATAAGCTGCAGGTCTGACTTTATAGACCCTATCTTGGGACTCTGCAGCCCCTCCTGTCCTCCTGGAACAGAGAACGAGCTGCTGCATCTTATGTGGCCTTAGGGCACCTTTTTTGGGGGGTACCTGCTCCCTCTGATGTCTGTGGCAGGCCAGCTGTGCCCGAGTTGGCCCTGGAGGTCCCCATGTCCCAGGCCTGTGGGGTTAGAAAAGGCCTTTGGTCTGGGACACCTCTCTGGGTGCAGGATCTGTCTTTAAAATCCTCCCTTTTAATGTCTTGCTGTTCCCTTTCTTTGCAGAGCTGCTGCAGCGAGGAGCAACCACCATCACCAACTTGGAGGGCTGGGTAGGCCACCCTCTGAACCCCATCGGCTGCCTCTTTCTCACCCTGACTGAAGCTTGTAGATTAGAAGAGGAAAATTGCCTTGAAATTTCAGGTACCGGGCACTCCTCCTGGCTCCCTTCCCAATGGCTGCAGCTGAACCAAGCCCGGAGGGCAGACCCTGGGTGCAGGTCTGGGGCTTGGGACTCCTGGGCTCCAAATCTCCCCTCTCTCTGCCTTCGCAGGAGCAGCCAGGGCAGAGCTGCAGTGCAGAGAGGGAGAGTTAGTGCCCTGAGTTTTTCCAGCCTTTGGGGTTCACAGCCAGAGCAGAACAGGAGAGTGGCTTAGCAGAGCTGGCCCAAGGCGTGCTGGCCCACGAGAAGGCTCTGGTGTCAGCTATGCACTTGTTGCACAGGTCTCAGGTCTCCTGCATCTCCTAGTGAGAGCAGGGAGAAGGGTGAAGCCCACATCTCCCGCAGGGAGCTTTTATCCATCATCTCTGGGTGATGGAAGGCAGGCAGCAAGGGAAGCGTGGGTGTTGCTTCTGAAGTTGAGAGGTTTTTCTCTCTGCTCTGGTTCTGCCACTTAGGAAGGTTCTTCTAACCTTTCTACATCTCTCCCCCTTCTTCCAGACACCGGGGACTCCAAACCCCCAGTGTATCAACACGTGCCCGTCGCAACCGGCAGCCAAGACAGCAAAAAACAGCGGCGAGTCCTACCTGTCCCTGGCCTTAGAGGTGGCCCTGATGGGGATGGGTCAGCAAAGAGTGATGCCCGAAGGTCTCTATGCCCAGGACAAGGTGTGCCGCAACGAGGAGCAGATCATCGCCCGGCTGCAGGACCTGGAGCTGGACCCAGTGCTGGTGCAGACCCTGCGGAAGCAGTGCATCTTGCTGCTGGAAGGTGGGGGCTTGGTCCATCTAGCTGGCTCCTGTGTCTTAGCTGAGTGCTGGTCACATCTCTAGGGTGCCCTTGCCAAGGTTTACACCTGGCTGACCCCATCCTGGCTTCTTCCTCTGAGGGTATGGTGCTGAGTCTGTAGGGTGGCTGCTCTGCCCCATCATCTGGCAAAGCAAGGGTTTAGGGTTTGCTGACATCCTTGGAGCAGGACCACCTCAGAGGCATTATGGAGAAGGGTGCTAAACATGTGGCCTCAGTTTCTGAGGGATTTTGACCTGAAATGTTTTTTAGAAAAGAAAAGAGCAGCCCTTTGCCTTAGATCTAACTTTAGTAATGCACCAGAGAGCTGCTGAGCAGATCCTCAAAGCAAACCCCAACCACAGATCTTGCTGTGCTAATTATGGCTGATGAGCTCTGCTTCTGCCTAGGTGGACCCTTCAGCGGCTTGGGAGAAGTCATCCACCGTGAGAGCGTCCCCATGCACACCTTTGCCAAATACCTGTTCTCTGCCCTGCTGCCCCATGATGCAGATCTGGCGTACAAGCTGGCTTTGCGGGCCATGAGGTTGGTGCATGTTTTATTCTGTCTCTGCCCTCTGTTTTGCCTCCCTCTTCTGCTCCTCTGCTCTGCCAGGAAGCCGGGATGCTTTGCGACCCTGGAGCAGGGATGGGAGTGGAGGCAAGTTTGGAGCTTGCCATCCCTGGGATCATCCTGAGCAGTGTGTAGGGCTGCCCAGGCACCAAGCAGTGCAAAGAGACTCCTGCTCTCTCTTTGGGTGACTCCTGGTTTTCAAGCCCCATCTGTAGAGGTTTGCATGGGCCTGATGTCTGCTGGTCCAGCCCTCTGCCCAGCCCCTCGCCCCAGGCTGGACTGCCACCTGTCTGTCCTGGTGACAGGTGTCCTCTGCCAGAGGAGGTCCCAGGCAGGGATGGTGCTGTCATCTGCCTCCTGTCTGCCGGGCCTCGGGTGCCCTGCAGCCCTCCCTGCCCACAGGAAGGGCTGTTATTCTGGCACAGGTGGGCAGGTGATTTGCCCTGGGCTCCAGGGTGGCGCAGAGCCGGGTGGAGAGCACAGCCACGCTCTGTTCTCCATTAAAGCCCAGCTCCATCTTTAGGACTGGGGACAGGGCCAATGCCGAGAGCTGCCCCATTTTGCTCCCCAGGGCATGACACACCTCAGACATCAGCCACTGTTCTGCAGTTTTTTGGCAGGGGCTGGATGGGTCTTGAAAAAGGCTGGAATTTCCCGAATGAGTCAATGCTTGAAGAACCGTCAACCTCGGAGCGTCCCAGTCCCCTCTCCCTCTGACATCATCTTTCTTGCGGCATTTCCTTGGTGAAATGGGCCATCTCTCCCCAACACCAAGGGAAATTTTGAAATCCCCCTCTGTCCTGGGAAGAGCTGCTCGGGAGGACAGACAGACCTAAAAGAGCGGCCAGAGGCCTCTGCAGTGCGTGGGGACACCACACCCCACCAGACCTAAGACCTCCAGCACCAAGCAGGAGTGGAACTGCCCTGGGGGTGTATGTTGCTCTCTCATCATCTGTTAGTGCCTGTCCCCTGCTCCCAGCTGGGACCCCCTGTGTTGGAATGTCTCTGACCTCAGCTGGGAAGGTTGGGCTTCTGCTGCCCCATGGGTACTCCAAGCCTGCAAGTGAGGAAAGCAGAGGTGGTTGGATGCTCTCTGTGTCCAGGGGGACAATTTCCCTCCTGCATGCCTTGACTGGCCATCAAGGTAGTAACACCAGTACCAGCTCAGGGATTTAAGAGCCAACATGGTTTTGTCAGCGTGGCTGGTGACTTGAGACTCCTGCTCCCCTTCCTTAGCCTTCCTTCTCCCCTGAGTTTTCCAGGCTTTTAGATATCCCCACAAAAGCAGGTAACCCAAACCGCTGCGAGGGCCCTGGGGAAGTGCTGCTGCTTCTGATCACAACCGAGCATTTTAAGAAGAACCAGATGATAGAGCCCAGAGTTCTGCTGGGCGCTCTGACATGAAAGGAGCAGGGAGGGAGGAGGGATTTTGCCTTTTTTTTTTTTTTTCTGAGGCTTGTGCTTTCCCTTACAAGTTTATAAATCACTTCACGGATCATTCTCCTCCTTTCAAGTTGGTCTCAGATTGATCCCTGTGCCCATGTGTTGAGCACGCAGCCTCAGGAGCCCCAACACGTGCACGGCAGCAGGATGCTTTCAAAGACGGCGCTGCGGGCAGCCCCTGCCTCGCCTCAACAGCACCTCGGGGAGAGGGGCAAAGCTGGGGCTGGGCTGGGGTTTGATGTTCCCTCTTACCATTTACCTTTCAGGTTGCCCGTCCTGGAGACCACGGCACCATCTGGCGACGTGACTCACCCCCACCACCTGGTCTCGGTTGTCCCCAGCAGATACCCGCGCTGGTTCACCCTGGGGCACCTGGAGTCACAGCAGTGCGAGCTGGCCTCCACCATGCTTACAGCAGCCAAAGGTTGGTGGGGGACCAGCTCTGGGACTGGAGTGATGGGACAATGCTGCACAAGAGCATTGAAGAGATTTTTGTGGAGAAAATAGGGAGCTCTTGGCTTCTGCTGGCCTTGGAGCAGCCTGCTGGAGTCTGGGAGCTTTGGAGCTCTTTCCCAAAGAGCCGCAAGGCTTGTGGTCTGTCAGGGTGGGACAGGAGGTTCCCAGGAGGTGCAGGCAACCCTGCAGGGCTGCCAACCACCCTGCTGCAGTTCCTGGGTAGTCCCCCTGGGTGATGCTGGACCATGCCTGCCCTGCACTATGGTCAGCTGCTGGGTCAGCTAGCCCTGACAGACGTGTTGTGGGTTCATGCCATGGTTTAGTTTGAAGCTGCTTATCCTTTTGCCTCTGCTTTGTCTCTTCCTGCCCTGTGGTAATGATCTTGCACAGGCTGTAGTGGGGAGACCTCCCTGTACACCAAACCACGTCTGGCTTTTAGCAGGGCTGGAGACTGGGACAGCTGTGCTGGGGAGGACACGTTGGTTCCAGTGTGGGGGCGCTCATAAAACACCTCCTCGCTGGTCTCTCAGGCCTCTTTTGTTCCTGCCCAGGCATAATGATGAAGGCGAGCACAGGCTTTTCATTAAACAACCCTCCATCCTCAAACCAACCCTACCAGGGTGACAAGTGCCTTGTGCCCCACAAGGGTGGGCAGGCCAAGCGCTTACCACTGCCCGCTGCTGTCCCACACAGTCTGCGGCAACCTCCAGCCCCTGGTGCTGCCAGCCTGACAGGGAAGGTGCTGCTTCCCCAGTGAGGTGGAAGGTAAATGAGCTGTCAGAAAGCTCCAGCCTGGCTGCCTCAGCAGCATCCTCACTCCTTCCAGTCCTCCTCCTTTTGGCTGCTTTTCCAGGGCTGATGGTGTCCTGCCCCTGCCTTGCAGTGCCCTGATGGAGAGCTGGTACCTGGCTTATCCTTTAGTTTCTTCTCCCTTCCAGCACCTAAAGGGGATGAGGTTTTTATGCCGGGGGTGTAGAGCTGTTGGATTCCATGGGTTTCCCATCGTCCCCTTCCCCGGGTGTTCCCCTGCCGCAGCATGTCCCGATACGATCCTGCATCCTTGCAGCCTCTCCTGCCCACACCCCCACAAACCATTTTAGGGAGGCTGGGATTTTGGTGGCGGTGCAAGCAGCTGCTGTGGGTGGCAGGCGATATCTTTAGCTATTAGTCACCCGAGATGTCTCTGTGTGCCCAGGTGCAGCACTAGGTTTTTCACACTGCTGTGCGTTATTTGGTTTTCTTTGTATGAGGTTCATCTGCTCAGTTTACGGCTGTGGGAGTAGAAACATAAACCTGGAACAAAGCAGAAGGACTTGATGTGGCACATTTGCATCTCTGGTCTGCACACACACCAAAGGTCCCTCTCCCCAGCATGTGTCCCACAGGGGCTGACAGGAGGATTTCCCAGGCCAGATGCAGAATCATGATACTAATATGCCTTGATGGGTCCCTCTTCCAAGATCCTGCCCCATCTCCCAATCCCATCATGTATCCTTCTGGCACCCATGGCCTCCTGTGGCTGGAGTCCCACAGCATCAGTGAGTGTTGTGCCAGGAACCCCCTTCTTTGGGGGTATCTCAGCCTGGCTCAACTGCGTGCCTGACCTGGGCCATCCAAGACCAAGCCACAGTGAGTCTGGATGACCCTGGCCCAGCCTGTGCTAGCCTTGCAGAGGGAAGGGACAAGGGACTTACTGCACAAGATAGTATGTGTGCAGCACAGCAAACAGCTTTCCTTCTTTTTAATGTACTAAAATGAAGACTGACCTTTCTGCAGCCATTCAGCACTGGGCATCTCCCCAAACCTCTCCTTTGTTGGGAAGAGTCTGCTTTACAACTCTCAAATTCGAGCCCAGGGTAGAACATCCAAGTGCCTGGAGGTGTCTGCTAATGCTCCAGGACATGTCAGGGATCAGTCAGGGCTGTTTGTCCTCTCCCTGAGAGGATGATCTTGAGTGAGGATGGGTGCTGTAGGATGTGTCCCCTCCTGGAGAGGACACCGTGTTTTGCTGTTGGACTGCAGGACCTGATCCAGCATCCCTGTGTGTCCCTCCACGTGTGTGTCCAGAGGGACTGACCATGCTGAAGGGGCTGTTCACCACCCAGTGCAGGCAGGAGATGGGGCTTAAGGGTGAGGGGAGGCTGAGCCATCTGACTGTTCTTGCCTGCACCCAGGGGACATGCTGCGCCTACGCACAGTGCTGGAGGCCATCCAGAAGAACATCCACTCCTCCTCCTTGATCTTCAAGCTGGCCCAGGACGCATTCAAGATTGCCACGCCAGCCGACAGCAACTCGGACACCCCCCCCAGCCGACAGCAACTCGGACACAACATTGCTCAACGTGGCGCTGGAGCTGGGGCTCCAGGTATGGGATGGCTCTGGGGATGCTGGTGGCCCTTCTGCCCCATGCACTGCAGCAGTGGCGCTGATGATGGACATCCATCAAGCAGGCAGTCCCCCGTGGAAGGAGTAAATTCACCCCTGCATGGCCCTGAGCAGGGGAGCTCAGCCCTGGGAGGCCCCTGTGCCCACTGCAGTTTGGGTGGAGGCAAGGCAGCGCCGGGGAACCGGTAGCCAGCTGGGACAGGGGGATTTTAGGGGAGCACTACTGTGTTGGGTGGTCTCGTTGGAGCCCTGTGGGGCAGCCGGTCACCCCAAGTTTGCCTCGCAGGTGATGCGCATGACCCTGTCCACCCTCAACTGGCGGCGGCGGGAGATGGTGAGGTGGCTGGTGACGTGCGCTACTGAAGTGGGTGAGTGCCACGCCGGGGGGGATCTGGCCTGTTTCTGGTGGGAGCAGGGTGGGCAGGGAAATGCCAGGGTCATTCATAGCTCTGGGTGTCTGAGCTCTCCTGGGTCTCCCATTTCTTCCTGGGTAACTGGATGAAAAAAAAACAGCTGTCGGCGCTGGGGCCACGGCAGTGGCCAGGTTTGGGACTGGGACAGGTCCCCTGTACCTGGGCCAGGCCAGTGGTGTTTCCTGTGCCCTGTGCCCATAGCTTCTGCCTGTCTCCCTCTGGCCCTGTCCCTGTTGGGACAGAGGCAGCAGCTCAGTGCTGCCATGGGCTGGCTTTGCCCTGGCTCCAGGGACTCAGAGGAACCCTGTGATCCAAGCGGGGCTCCAGGGCTGTGCCGTGACCCCAGTGTTTTCTTGCAGGGGTGAGGGCCCTGGTGAGCATCCTGCAGAGCTGGTACTCGCTGTTCACCCCCACGGAAGCCACCAGCATCGTGGCAGCCACGGTGATGTCCCACAACACCATCCTGCGCCTGAGCCTGGACTATCCGCAGCGGGAGGAGCTGGCCAGCTGTGCCCGCACGCTGGCCCTGCAGTGTGCCATGAAGGACCCGCAGAACTGCGCCCTGTCTGCCCTGACCCTCTGCGAGAAGGACCACATCGCCTTTGAGACTGCCTACCAGATCGTCATCGACGCCGCTTCCACTGGCATGACCTACACCCAGCTCTTCACCATCGCCCGCTACATGGAGCACCGGGGCTATCCGCTCCGGGCATTCAAACTGGCCTCGTTGGCCATGACGCATCTCAACCTGGCCTATAACCAGGACACGCACCCAGCCATCAACGATGTGCTCTGGGCCTGCGCCCTGAGCCACTCTCTGGGCAAAAACGAGCTGGCAGCCATCATCCCACTGGTGGTGAAGAGCGTGCACTGTGCCACGGTGCTCTCGGACATCCTTCGCCGCTGCACCATGACGGCCCCAGGGCTGGCCGGCATCCCCGGCCGCAGGAACTCGGGGAAGCTGATGTCCACCGACAAAGCCCCCCTGCGACAGCTGCTGGACGCGACGATAAGCGCCTACATCAACACCACCCACTCCCGGCTCACCCACATCAGCCCACGGCACTACGGGGAGTTCATCGAGTTCCTCAGCAAGGCCAGGGAGACCTTCCTCCTGGCGCAGGACGGGCACATACAGTTCGCCCAGTTCATTGACAATCTCAAACAAATCTACAAAGGCAAGAAAAAACTGATGCTGCTGGTGCGGGAACGGTTTGGGTGAGCCCTGGCCGCTGCCACGCTCACTGGCAGGGTCCAGCTGCAGCACGGGGATTTGGGAGAGAAGAAGGAAGGAAAGCGGAGATCACCTTCCCCCCCCCATCGGCAGAGGCTGCTCTGTTCTGGTCTTCTGTTTCTTTTTTTGTTTTCTTTCTTTTTTTTTTTTTTATTTTTTTCTTTCTTGGATATAACCATTTCACATGCTGAGAGGATCCAGAGATTCCTTGGGCACAAACCAAAAGGCAACCACAGGGAAAAAGGATGGTTCGCTCAGCCCCCTGCCCTCCCTTGCCAATACCAAAAGCTAACCTGGAAATCTAATACCTCTTTCCTGAAGGAAGCGGTCGCTGGAGGGATCTGAAGGTTGCAAAGTGCAAAAATCTTTAAAATTCTGTGGAGAATTAAAAAAAGAAAACAAAAAAAAAAAAAAGAAAGAAAAAAAAAAAGAAGAGCGAGCAAAGAAACCCACAACACTAGAACCTCATGCGTCACCAAAAGCAATGGCTTTGCAGAGTGCTTCTCCCGCCCGCCCGAGACATGCAAACTCCTCTATTTGTGAAGATACTTCAATAAATACAAGTTAAAGTAACTGTTCTCAGGGATTGCTTACTAAAAGTAACACACACACAAAAAAAAGCATTTATGATACTGTAAATACTATAGTATATGTGTCAATTATTAAATTGTAAAGTTATAATTATTTATAATTCTGTCTTTTATTTGGGGGATACTTGAAATTGTCGTGGGCTGGGGCGATTATTTTTATTATTGCTATTATTATTATTATTATTGTTATTATAACTATTATTTAAAACAAAAAAACAAACCACAAAACAAAACCACAGACAAAAAGAGGAGGAGGCACACGAACATTTCTCAGGTTCCCACAGCATCGTCGGCAGCGAGAAGGGTGTGGGGGGAGGTGAACATCCGCTCGACTCACAGCCCTGGGATGGACGGACGGACGGACGGATGGAGGGAGGAGTGCAGCCCAGCGCTTGAGGACAATGAAGGAAGGGACTCGAGGCAACGCTCGCTCGACACACATGGATGCTGGCAATGGAGGACACGAGCCCACCGCCTCGTACACGGCCATCTCCCGGTGGGCGCAAGGGTGCGAGGTGCCTGGGTGGCGGGCGGGCACCAGGGCTGCCCAGCTCCTGGGGAGGGATTGGGGCAGGTGCAGCTGACTCCCTGCACCCTTCTGCTTCCCAGCTCCGTGGCGCAGCCAACACTCAGCCCTTCCCCGAGCTTCGCCCCACGCCGGGGACAGACTCTCCAGCCCTGTGCCGGTGGCTCTTCGGTTTTGGTTCATTTCTTTGCCAGCGGGTTGGGAGGGCTGGGGGGGGGCAGGGCTGGTCTGGATGGTGACTTGTAGTTAGAGAACATGGGCTAGTTATCTGCTGTCTGGTTTGACTTAAATTTTTGGCAAGTGACTTGTGTCTGCGCTCCGGCCAGGAAACCAATTGTACTTGGTCTCTGTCACCACTGAAATAGCGGTCTTCAGCCAGTCTGTTTCTCTTTTTTCCCCTCTCTTTTTTGGATTTTTTTTGTTTTGTTTTTTTGCGTGTGTGTGTATGTGTGTGTGCGACCTCTTCATCTGATGTTTAATAATAAAAGGGATGAACGTTACTGCCTGTATCTCTACTGCCTTTCTCCAAAGTTGGAGGGGTAACCACGCTTGCTGGGCAGCCTGGCATCGCAGGGAGGAGGTGGCATCACAGCCCCATGTGGTACCCAGCTCCTGCACCCCAAGGAGGAGGATGGATGGAGCCAGGCAAGGCACCCTGGCTGCTTTAGGGTGCAATTCCCTGCTGCATTCAGCATCAGCAAGTCCCTGCCCACCCTGGTGGCACTGCCCCATCTGTGCCAGCTACAGCAGTGTTGGCACCTGTGTCCTGAGCTTTCCTACAGCCAGCCTAGACTGCAGTTAGTGTGCTGCAGTGTGGGGTGTGGTGGCACAGAGTCATAACTCCAGGGTTCCTGGGTGCTGCTGGCACCTTGGGCTGCTTTCTGCAGGGTTTGCTGAGCCCTAGGCAGAGATTGGAGATCAGGAGGTGTGCATGGGGGAAGAGATCTCCAGGACCAGTGGGATGGTCCCAAAGAGGCTGTGGGATCTGGAGGAAGAGCAAGGGCAGCGCTAGGGCCATGGTGTCACTGCCACCATCCCAGCCAGTGTGGCAGGGGGTTGGTGGTGCTGGTGCCTGGAGGGTTCCTGCCACGTGGCTGGCTGTCCCCCAGGTGAGTGCTGCTGGGTCTCCCAAGCACTGGGTCACTGCCATGTTGCCTTTTGCCACCCGAGCAGGACTGTGGCACAGCTCACACTGCACCTGTGGCAGTGGTCAGCTCCCAGGCTGCTACCCAGCCAGCCTTGGGCAGCTCATCTCCCCTAGCAGGGCTGGGCAGATCTGTGGTGCCAGGAGATGCCTACTGTGCTCTGGGCTCACATCCTCTCTTGCAAGCCCTTAGCACAACACTACAGCCTGGCAGGGAGAGGCCTCCCCCACTTTCCTGGCACCCCCGTTTCCCCATTCTGACCCACAGGATGGGGCTCAGGCACTCTCCCGACCTCACATGCCCCACTGCCAGGCTTCCATCACTGCCCATCTCCTCCTGGGCCGTCCAGTTTCCCGTCCCCCCAGCCAGAGCCACACGGCTGCTGCGGAGAAGGTGCTGGTTTAATGCTACAGCCCAGACTGAAGTGAGCCCTGTGACAACACACTACTCGGGCTGACTGTTCCCAAACCAGTCCTGTCCCCAAGCCCCCAGGCTCAGCTGTGCTTGTTGATGTGACGGGAATGAGCATGCACGGCCTCCACGAAGGCACCCACATGCTCAGGACTCATGTCAGGGTAGAGGCCATGGCCCAGGTTGGCGATGTAGCGTTGGGTTCCGAAACCCTCCAACATCTTCTTCACCAGCTCACCGATCTTCTCCTGCAGGCACAGCAGAAAACCATCTGTCAGCCCCATCCAGCCCAGGTAGTCCACCCCCCACCAGTCCCCAGCCAGCCTGGAGGACTACTGGGACACAAGCCAGCACTACAGGTGGGGAAACTAAGGCAGGAGGTGTTTAACACAGGTGGGAACTAGCCCCAGTTGCTGGTGATGGCCACTGCTCACCTTGGGTGCGTAGAGAGCACAGGGATCCAGGTTCCCTTGCAGGGTGACATCTTTCCCTGTCTGTGCCCTGCAGCAGAGGAGGCAGGTGAGTTGTTGTGTGTGGTGCAGAGGCTGGGGGCAGCCAAGTGCCTGCAGCCCCCACTGCAGGACACACGGGACCCCTTGGTACAGCCCCTGGTTGCTGTGAGCTCCATGTAGCATGGGGGCCCAACTATCCCCACCTCTGGAGCAGAAATCTCCAGGCCTGGGGTGGCTCAGGGAAGAGGAAGAGGTCAGGGTACCCATCCCAGGGTGCTGCCCAGGCTCCCAAGTGCTTTGCCAGACTCTTACCGAGCTTCCTGGGGCCGGATGGTCCAGTCAAGACCAACCACCTCATAACCAGCGTGGGCCAGATCGCGCAGCGCGTAGTGTGCGTCCTTTGCAAAGATGATCTGGGGAGGGAGGAGATGGGCAGTGACTCCACTATGGGTCAGGGCCCACTCCACAGCCTCAGCTGAGGGAGGCGGGTACCAGGGGCTGCCCCGCTCTCCAGCAGCCCCCAGATGCCAGGGTCAATCCAGGCAGCCCCAACTCACCATGGGCACCAGGGGCAGCGCCTCCTCCTTCAGCCTGCTCTTGACAGCCTGGGCGATGTCTCGGATGTAAGGCAGGGCAAAGTCCTGAAACTGCTCCGGGCCCAGGTGACCCGCATGGGACTCAAATAGCTGGAGTGCCTGCCGGGGACATGGGGCTGGGAGAGCTGCACCTCAGTCTCTCCTCCTCCCAGAAGCTGGTCCCTCTCTGCTCCGTGTCTCCAGTCCCTGCCTTCCTGCCTGGCCCTGTTCCCATACCCTAGGACACACCTGCGCTCCAGCAGCCACCTGCCCCACAAGGTAGTCAGTGATGACATCAGTCAGCAGCCGCAGCAGTCGGTGGCTGGTGACGGTAAAGCCAGCTCTTGGCCTTGGCCATTGTAGTGGAGCCACCACCTTCAATCATGTAGGACATGAGTGTCCACTGTGGGAAGGAGAGGAATGGAGTGAGGAGAGTGATGCAGACGGAAGAAGACACGAGGGGCCAGTCACAGTGCTGAAGGTAGGACCTGTGAGCACCCCAGAACTGGGGCACAGCTGCTCCTGCATTGAATGTTCCTCACCCACACACTTCTACAGCACCCACAACTCTGGGGGTGTCATGGCCAGTGTCACCCCAGAAGAAGGAGCAGAGAGGCCTGGCTGGGAAGCCCACATGGAGGAGCCCCATCACTTACAGGTGCCCCAGAGAAGCCGATGAGGGGCACCCTGCCCTCCAGACTGTGTCGTGTCAGCGTGATGGCCTGGAAGACGTAACCCAGCTCCGCAGTCACATCCACTTTCTGTCGCAGTTTCAGCAGATCCTCGACCTCCTTCAGAGGCTCTGTGAACGTGGGTCCTTTGCCGGGGACCATGACAACCTCCATGCCCAGCGCCTGGGGACAGATGAGAATGGAAGAAACAGGAATGAGGTAGCCTCAAACCCAGCCCTGTTCCTAACCACTGCTCCTCACCACTGGCCATGGCTCTCACCTGGGGCACCACCAAGATGTCAGAAAAGATGATGGCAGCATCCAGGGGGAATCGTCTGAGCGGCTGCAGAGGGGAAGAGACAGCGTCAGTGAGCGGCTGGGACCAGCTCCTCATGGAGGACCTGGACAAGCACATGGGGCAGTGGGGTCCCCAAGGGCTGCACAACTTACTGGGGCCACTCGAGGTGACCAGACCCAAGGTTTTTCCTCATCCCCATCTGGGCGAGATGAGGGGACACACAGACCCCCTGGGGGATGCTCACCTGCAGCGTCAGCTCACAGCACAGTTTGGGGCTCCGGCAAGTGGCAAAGAAATCCTGCGCCGCCCGGGTCTCCCGAAACTCTGCAAGGGACCAGCACAATCATTACAGGGTGTGCACCGTGGCCCCCTCACCGTCCCCCCCGGCACACCTCCGCCTGCTCACCGGGCAGGTAGCGCCCCGCCTGCCGCATGCACCACACCGGGGTGTGCTCTGTCTCCTCCCCGCGTGCTGCTCGCAGGAACGTGTCGTTCTTCAGCTTGGGGAAGCCCTTGGGGCTGCGGATGAAAAGAACAGACAAGGGCTGTCACCCACGAGGGGTCTAGGTGCCCTGCCAGACCCCTGGGACAGGGGGGGCCAAGGCCAGTGGCTCATCCCTACTCCCTGACCACAGCCCAGTTGTGACAAACGTGACAAACGCTCCCCATCATGGTCCAGGGCCTCTTCCTGCTTGGGATCGCGGGGCCCTCTCTAGGACAGCGATGCCTGGCCCAGGGCCCTGGGA